CTTTGCTGCGTTTTGTTTTTATCCCCCAGACAAGAGTGTAAATGGTAGGGTGCAACAATCTTAACATTCGTGTAGACCTAACAGTCATCGTTTACGTTTCTTCAGTTGCCAGTTCAATTATTAGATTGTTTCACATAAAATGATGATGAAAAGAGAAGTCATAAAGTCTAGTTACCATAGAGTAAAATTCGTCGGGACAATTACTATGAAATTATTTATAGAAAGTCACAGGGAAACTATGTCACAGCGGGAGATAAAAGACTGAAGCCAATGTTAGGATGAATAACACTGCAGATTCTGCTTCCAACTTTCGCAAGAATCTCTAAATATGTAGCAGGATATGAAGCAATATTCAAAGCAAGCGGGAATGGTAAACCTCTATATATGTAAGAAAGATGTTATCGAGAATAAGTCTCTATCACGATATCGTCAAACAATTTTGGTAACTGCAGACTTAGCAGTTATAAACCTCTTATTGTTGAAACTTGACTAATGCATGGAATAATAATGCAACACAAAAGGTATTTAGAACAAAATGTATTGAAACAAGAAAGTGTACACAATATTTATATATAGTCTTTTGTATATTCCTGGTAAGACCGTTCCTGGAGAATGTGTTGACTGAGTCGCAGTCGGGCAGAGTCTCTGGTTGAATCTCTTGATTCCTCCCTCTCTTCCCGGTACCAACCATATTTATATGGTCGGTACTCCACTATGCAAATTAGGTGGATCCTACCACAACAATTATAAAAATTCAATAATTTTTTTTTTTTGTTATTTTTTATCCAAGTATATTTTAGAAAATTGCTTCATGGCTATATTTTTTAGCTTCAAAACCTGAATGCCAAAACCCCTTATAGAAATGACCAGTTGTGAGACCGAAGAACGAGGGAATGTATTTTCTGTGTACAATGTAGCATACCGCAACTCTTCAAGAAAAGAATGTTGGTTGTATCAAACGTAGCCTTATTTTAATAAACATTTTCGTCGGGAGTGAGGTTTCTTGACAAAACCTATTATTACAAAGAAAAGGTAATCTCTGGGATATTACGTAATTGTCTTTACAAAATTCCTGCTTCTCTACCGAGTGATCATCTTTTTTTCATTTCTCGGCTTTTGGTAGATCTAGATCACACACTGCTGCAGAGCTGTCGAAGATCCGTTATCAATAAATATGCACAATAGCTAGTTCGTAGTTTTCGACGTAGACCATAGAAAAAAAGTAATAAGCTGCAGTCATCAGGCCTGTCAAGACTGAAGCGGATTTGTCTGCCCATATCAAACTCAACATATCAGGTCGGACTTTGAGGATCATCTCTGCCTCTTTGTATTTGACACCGTTGTGGCGTTAAGTCAAACACATATTTCTGCTTATCTAGCACCAGTGGTGAATAAGAGTTATTGACCAAGATTTTACAAACACAATATTTTGAAAATTGTTTGATCTGGATTATTGCTAAGGAGTAATTTTCCGTACTGCTTTCGATGGATCCTTTTATAAACACTGTTACCAATCGTTTTCTAGGCTGCTCAGAAATCTTCATTTTTTTTCATACTGTTTCCTTAGTTTGCCATGAGCATCAGGTTGCTTCAAAAAATTTTAGAATCAAAGCTATAAACCGCGTTTTTGGGATTCTGCCACTTAAAGATCGAGTTATTTTAAAACGGCTTGGTTGTTATTGAGCTGGTCGCTAATTTAGAGGTTGGGCTTAAACGTGGTTTCAAGGATACTACACGTGTATTGGGATTGCGCCAATCACTTCCAGATTGCTTCAATACCACCTTAATTCTATTTGTAACATTTATAATTCATTTGTAAATATTTATACCGTACAGTAGTGTAATTGTGTTTTAATTTGCTGGTTCATTAGATTTTTAAGTCTTACCTTAAAATAACCTTAAAAGGCTTATCTTAAAATAACCTCTTTAAGACTTATCTTAAAATAACCTTTTTAAGACTTATCTTAAAATAACATTTTTAAGACTTATCTTAAAATTACATTTTTAAGACTTATCTTAAAATAACCTTTTAAGACTTATCTTAAAATAACATTTTTAAGACTTATCTTAAAATTACATTTTTAAGAATTATCTTAAAATAACCTTTTAAGACTTATCTAAAAATAACCTTTTAAGACTTATCTTAAAATAACAATTTTAAGACTTATCTTAAAATTACATTTTTAAGAATTATCTTAAAACAACCTTTTAAGACTTATCTTAAAATAACCTTTTAAGACTTATCTTAAAATAACCTTTTAAGACTTATCTTAAAATAACATTTTTAAGACTTATCTTAAAATTACATTTTTAAGACTTATCTTAAAATAACCTTTTAAGACTTATCTTAAAATAACATTTTTAAGACTTATCTTAAAATTACATTTTTAAGAATTATCTTAAAATAACCTTTTAAGACTTATCTTAAAATAACAATTTTAAGACTTATCTTAAAATTACATTTTTAAGAATTATCTTAAAACAACCTTTTAAGACTTATCTTAAAATAACCTTTTAAGACTTATCTTAAAATAACAATTTTAAGACTTATCTTAAAATTACATTTTTAAGAATTATCTTAAAACAACCTTTTAAGACTTATCTTAAAATAACCTTTTAAGACTTATCTTAAAATAACCTTTTAAGACTTATCTTAAAATAACATTTTTAAGACTTATCTTAAAATTACATTTTTAAGAATTATCTTAAAATAACCTTTTAAGACTTATCTTAAAATAACAATTTTAAGACTTATCTTAATATTAAATTTTTAAGAATTATCTTAAAATAACCTTTTAAGACTTATCTTAAAATAAATTTTTTATGACTTATCCTAAAATAACTTACGAATGTTATTTCGTAGGTTATTTTAAAGCCGAAACATATTTTCAGGTTTTAAGAATAATTTCTTTTATTGAGAGTGAATATTATATTAATAATTCTTGGGAGATAATTATGAGTTTTTCATCTAAAAACTTACTGATTAACCCAATGATTTTCAACCGCCGTGCATGAATTATACACGAAATTAATAGCATTTTTTGATCAAGAAAATCAGGAAAAATTCTTTGAGCATCATCGTTGCGGATTTTTGATGCCTACTTAGGAATACTTAACGGAAATATTTAATTAACTAAATAATACGAAAAATAACATCTGAGGTTAAGTTGAAAATATTCTCACTTCAACAGATAAGTTGGTTGCCCACAATAAGAAAATTATGAAAATTGTATTTTTTTTTAAATCTATGATTCTATTTAATAACATTTAAATGTATACCCTATAAATTTTGCTAAATGTGTCGTGATATTTTCATTTCCTTCTCGGTGTACTGTTGCTTAAAACGGTTGAGAAGCACTGGATTGCTTATAATTGGAAGGAGAATAGGCGGATTCAGACCTTTCACAATGATATTTGCTCGTAAGTGAAAGTAATGAACCTGACTGGAATTCGAACTCGGCTCATGCCGTTATCCATTACACCAGATGCACATCCGTGCTTACAGCACCTGGTACTCCCAAAAGGTCACTGATTAAGGTACAGACCAGACTCAGCGTTGATGAACATCGGTGATCGTACAGGAACTGATGTTTCAACGTGATATGGCAGTCAGCTGAGGTAACGGATTGAACTCTAAACTTAGCACAAAAATTCGAAAAATTACTGTATATTCTGGACTTTCGTTTTGTATATAGAAATTCTTTTTAATTATTATTTTATTATTTTTTCACATTTTGAAGAAAAAAACAATCACTAATGAAGACGGTAATATTTTTTTAGTGAGAACCATCCCTCATCAAACTTCATGGACAGGCGCTATATAATTGCTAAAGCAGCATTTTAAAGTTTAAACAAAGTATTAGTTTACGACCATATCACGTTGAAACACCGGTTCACCTGGTGAGGGTGGCAGTGCGGGTCCTAGCTGTGGACGTTTAAAATGGTCGGACTAAGGAGTGTTGCCAAGGATATATGAATATAGTAACGGTAGGTTTGTTTCATTTTTTTTCTTTCGGAAAGAGGCAATAGTATTCATAATTATTCACTCACAAAGACATATAACGTAAGTCGTCTGGATAGACATGTAGTATCTGTTTTGAACAATTCTCAACCCTAGTGCCTCGTTCCGACTTACGTTACACCGATGTCCATCTTTCCGCAGGATAGAGGCATGGTTGAAAACTCTCCAAAACTAAACACTACACGTTTAAATTATGAGACGAAAGATTGAGAGAATGTCTTTCATGTGTACAATGTAGAATGCTGCAACTCGTCAGAAACAGAATGTCGAATATTTCAAATGTAGACTTTTCTTATCAAACATTTTCGCCGGTACCGAGTTTCTTGACAAAACCAACTATTACAAAGAAAAAGTAATGTCTGGGATATTATGTACTTCTCTTTATAATATACAGAACGTACGTTACACCTATGGCATTTTTTTTTCTGGTGGGAAGAAACAGTAGGGTTGAAAATTAATCACTCACAAAGCTATATAAGGGATTTTGTACTCTGTCAAAGCAATAAAGTCCCCTGCATGTGTGTATATGTATAAGTACATGTAAGTCACTTTGATACAACATTTCGGAATCCAGATACCATATTTTTAGTAACTTAACAATAGCATTAACTCCGAGTAATTCTTGTTTGAATTATGAGTCCATGTGGAAAACACAATGCTAAGGACCACGAGGATAGATAGATAGATAGATAGATAGATAGATAGATAGATAGATAGATACGTTTGGGTTTCAAAGAGACGAATCAGGACAATTATTCTTTTTTCGATAAACATCCAGCCGGAGATATCCTTATTCAAATTATTATTATACCAACTTTCCAGTCTATTTTGATATAAAATCGAGATAGAGAGATATCGAAAGGCGAAGATGGACAGGTATAGACAAATATTTAAAATATAAATAACAGATAAATAAATAACGAACAAACTGAAAGAGATGCATAACAGATAGATAACAGATAGATATATAAATAATGAA